ATTAGTCTGAAAATTAGATTGCATAATATTTAAAAAAGTATCCAGTATTACCACAGTTCTGAAAAAGGAGAGGTAAATGAGAGCAGAAATAAATGAGCATCATATCATTACCCCACTGGACATTGATTGAAAATGATGATATGAATGACCATTTTAAAAATGTTATTCATTGGAAAGACTTCATCAAAAAGAATTATGGTCAGAAGATTAAGGTTATGGAAGGTAATCGATAAAAAAAATTTTTTTTATTTCTCAAAAAAAATACTGTTCTGATTAGAATTTATCGGAATGCTCAAACTGTAGATTTAGGAGCAAAATCGATCTAAAAGCTTATGTCTGTAATTAGTGAAGATTATTATAAGATGGAAGTTCAATACAATTTATAAAGGCAAGGTTCCCATGTAAGTTCCAATGCATTTAATGGTGATCTAATAGAATGAGTGAAGTCCTAAGTAGACTCCACTAGGTATCCGAGTTAGACACTCTCCGATGGACCTAGCAGTAATAACAATAAGTGTTTCTATTTTAAAACAAATTCTCAATTAATGTCGTTTCATGGAACGTATCCTCAATAAAAAACTAAATACGTTAAATTTATGGTCCCCTCATATTTTGTCTCTAAGAAAGCAGAAAATAATTTAATAACTTCTTTCCAAAAATTATGCAATAAATAACTATATTATATTCTCATCTTCTAAATTAGGTGGCATTATAACTGGAATTCATAAAATGCTTCACATCCAAAAATGGAAGTAATATTCTAAAATTGTTGTGTGATGCTTAATTTGATTCTCTTATTAATGCAAGAACCGAACATTTTGACATTTTCATATTTAACTTTTATTTTAATAAAAAATTATTGTTTTTCAAAATTAAAAAAAGAATTAAATTCATGGTTCGGTAAATTTACAAATGCTATGAAGCCAAATCAAATATTTATGATCTGTTGTGATTTCAATTTTAAAAGTAAACCGTTTATCTTTTTTTGAAATAATCCCTCCTCAAATACATACATTTTACAGAAAAAAATAAGCTTTGTAGTAAAAGTAAAACAGATCACATATTAACATTACCACTAATAGAATCTAATAAATATGAACTTAATGAATACTCTGATCACTGCTTAATTCAAATTGAGTTTAAAATTTAACCTTCAACAAGATAATAATTCAACTATTACAAATTTAATAACTTTAATGCAAAAACCTTAATTAATTTGGCAGCTTCTAAATTCTCCGATTTTGCATTTTTCTATGACTTTATTAAGATAAACCTAAGAAAATCGAAAGTGATTTTGAAATCAAAAAACCAATTATTAAATTACTCTTTTGAAAATGCTGATTTATTCTTTAAACTGGCACAACTAATTAAGAATGATAAAAATGCTTTTTTAAACTATTAAAAACCAATACTACTTTAAATCTTTTAAAAAAGAAAATAATATATATATATTTCTAAAATTAATTAATATTTATGCTTATAAAGAAAAATCAATAAAGTTTTATACAAATTTTTTTGATAATTATTTTGAACAAATTTAATGAAACCAATTAATATTGGATAATCTCTTCATTAATTCTAATACTAGTTGGAACTAATTTTTTGAGCAAATTATGACTTTTTGTTGTATGGGCATATAAGTCAATAGATCTATTATTTTCTAACATTTTTCTTATTAGCTGCGATTTAGTCTATGATGTTACTCATAGTATATTTCACTTACATAAGGCCCCTTTGATAATGATTCACCTTTTGCAAATTGTTTTTGTTCAACCTATCGATGTAGCTGAGATCCAATTATTTGAAAGTTGGTTTAGTATGACTATTGCCCTAAATTGGGTTTGATTTTGGATTTTACTTAATCAATATTCAATAGATCTAACTTGTTTTCTCATAACTGTTTATTGGTCTTTACAGTTCTATCTTTCAAAAATATCCTTTATTTTCCAAAGTTATTTGGTGTTCTATGACCATTATATTTTATCCACTGGTTGATACCTTTTTTTTTACATAAAGTCTTGCAAAAATTTTGTTTCAGTTTTGTCACCTTATCAAAATATTGATAGCATTTGATTAAATTTCTTCAGAGCTACAAGCTTTTGATATAAGAAAATTATGTAAGACCATTGAATTTCAAATATTTATAAACCCACAATTAGCTTTCCTTTTAGGTTTTATTATGCTGAATAATAATTCATTATGCGATAAATTATTTATGTAAATAAAATATTTATTCTATATAAATCTAGCTGCAAATCTGCGTATCCTACTTCTTTATTTTAAATACTTTGTAATTGCAGAGAAAATATATTTGTTTTTATGGTTCTGTAATTTCTTTTTGATAATTAGAAATCCTTTAACACAACCCTCATAGTAAAAGAGTCCTATAATATAATGGCAGAGAGAATTTGATGATAATTAAATTATGGGTTTTGACAATGGATTTCGTTGATGAAATGGTAAATTCTAAGCTATTAAAATTTTGATTT